CCAGACCTCTCTCCAGGGACTGCTCCCCCCAGCCAGAACCCTCCCAGCCCCTATCCAGACCTACCTGCAGGCCACTGGAGCTCCCCCAAATCTATTCTCACCCCCCATTCCCCAGGACCCTGACCCAGCACCCCGGGAACCCACCAGACCTTCCCCCTCCACCCACGCACAGCCGGGCTCTGCCTGTCCCCAGCAACCCCTGCCCCCATGCTGGGTCCCCGAGGGACCCCCTCGCGCCAGGCCAGCTGGGGACCCTTGCCACAGTGGGAGAAGGGGCGAGCTGAGCCAGGTGATGGCCCAGGCAGCTCCTTCTCCAGTGCTGCAAAGCCCCTGCAATGCCCAGAACCACTCCTGGTTCCAGGTGTTTGACCCAGGACAGTCACTGACCCAGCCCCTGGGTCGCTCAGGCCAGTGGGTGCCCCAGGTCCCATGGGTGCAGGAACAACTCTTGGCCCCTTGGGTGGAAAATCCAATCCCCGGGTCCCTTTTTCCCTCTTTGGCTACATTGGGTGCTATCTGGCACAAGGTGGGATGTAGGGGAGAGTGGGCCAGGCAGGAAGGGGTTGGGGGGGCTGCAGTCCCCCTGGGCTGAGCCTGTTCCCTGCCCCCACTCCCCCTCCCACCATTCGGCCAGTACAGCTGGAGCAGCACAGGAGGGTAACTGCAGCATTTGTGGCAGGCAGGGGGGAAATCATGCCAAAATGTCATCTCTTCTTAATGTGGAAACTGCTTGTCTCGGAGTGGCATTTTTAGGCAGATGTGAGTGTTTTCCAGCCCCACCATCCCCTCACTCCACAGAGGTGCTGAGCTCCAAGACCCCGCGGTGCCTGGGCCAGGTTAGTGGCAGAGTCCCCCAGGATAGGCAGTGCCCGAACTGGGGAGCTGCAGCCAAAGCTCTTGAGAAGAGCCAGGACCCAGGGGCTGTGCCCCAGCATGGCCCTACCAGTGATGCCGCTGGAGGTGGCTGCACCCAGGCCATTTCTGCACCCCCTGCAGTCCCCAAGGTCCGAGCATTGCTAGGGCTGCAGATTCGCCACTGCTCGGACAGTTAGCTGAGCCTCTTCAAGGAACTAGCTGCCACGGCACCAAGGGAGCCTTCCTTCCACATGCTCCAGGGGAGAACCCTCATCCTCCTCTCCAGTGGAGGAGGACATGGTTCACAGCTATGTGGCAGGCAGAGGCCTGACTTAACTCCTTGTTACCCTGGCCTCTTGCAGCCCTCCTCCCAAACGCACACCTCTCTAATGCAGCTCCTGGAGGGGGAATTTCTCCCAGCCTTTTGCTCTTGGCCAGGACCAGTCTCGGGTAATCTCTTCTGCCCATCTCCAATTAAGGGAAAACGTGCCCAGCTGGATCATTTTGGTGTGGCGGTTGTGGCCATTTCTAGCTGGCAAGGATGCACATAAGCCCCTCCAGCATGAATCCCACTCCCCTCAGAGGACGTAGGAACAAAGTAGGAACAAGGACTCCAGGGGGTCCCAGCTCCCAGCATCACCCTCTGCTTGTGGTAACAGGGTTGTAGCTCCAAGCAGGAGTGGGACCCACCTGGGCATGGACCTGCTGGAGTTACAAGGCAGCTTGCAGCAGCACTAGCAGCATGCTCAAAGCTCCCTTTGTGTCTGGAGGTCTCCAGCTAATTCCTCTCCATCACAGCCACATGCCTGGCAACATGGTGAGTGAACGTCTCTCACATTGTTCCTTGAAATTATCATTATAGACTGACAGAAGGAGAGAAACTGGCAGGCTAAGATGTGTTCACAAAAATATCCCCTCCAAGGTCAGTTTAAATAAGTCTCCATCATCATTGGGAGCGCTGTGTGGGGCCAGTGCAGAGGTAGCCTTTGCTGCTCCTCTTCCGCCACATCGTCTTGGCCCCTGGCAAGGTGTCACAACCCCAGCTGTGCTCCTGGGCGCCTCCTCACCTATGCCAGGCCAGCCCACGGCTTGGGTGGGGGGGTGTCGCCTAAGCCGTGAGTCCGTGCCAGGCAGGATACAGACGTTTGCTCAGCAAGTCAAGCTGAGGTTGGTGATTGAGCCCGGGAAAGACCCTCCCCACTTTCCCCCCCCAGCACCGGCACAGAGCCTAGCTGCCATGCACGAGGCCATCGCCCGCTGTGCCCAATGCCCACTGCAGCCCTAGACCCATGGTGAGCAGGGGCTTTGCTGGCAGGGGGACAGGCAAAACGTGGGCACCCGGCACTCAGGCTGTGGCAGGTGAGGGGGGAAGCTGCTGGGATCACAGCAGAAGGAGGAAAGGGTCCTGGGGTCAGCATGCTGACTCAGCACGGAGTGGATGCGGCGCCGGCACAGCCGCTTCCCCTGGCAGCTGGCAGTCCCTGTGGGGTGCCAAACTGTGCCTGCACACCCCTGGTGCCGGCGGGCAGCTAATCTGCCTCCTCTGCCCTGTAGGCTGGTCTCAGGGTGGGAGGAAATTAAAGCTGCTTCCCGAAGCTCACCTGAACCCATGCCACCCTCTGATTTCCTGGACAAGCTTATGGGACGAACATCAGGGTATGATGCCCGGATTCGACCCAACTTCAAAGGTAAGGGGAGGACGTAAGGCTCCCAAACCTGGCAGTGACTCACGCTTATGGCTGCCCAAAACCAGGGAATGGGCAGGTATGGGTTTGGGGGCAGGACCCTGACCCACGTCTCTTCATCCCAACACCCTCCCCAGAGTCCCGGCTGCCCCTGCAATCACAACCGCCCTGGGTGTGCCTGCTTTGCCTGACAACACGGGCATCTGCAGTGCTTGCAGGGTGTGCTGGGGCTCACCTCAGCACACTATGGGGGTGACCCCAGTGGGAAGGGGCATGCTTGTGTGCATTGATTCATGCAGCGCGTGCAGGAGGCCACGTCCCCACGTGTGCCTGTGTGGTGCTCGTGTCTCCCTGGCCAGCAGTGAGAGGAGGCTTCACGCTGTTTTCCAGGTCCACCTGTCAACGTGACATGCAACATCTTCATCAACAGTTTCGGCTCCGTCACCGAGACCACCATGGTGAGGGTTTTGCCAGCGCGACAGGCTCCTCTCCCAGTGCCTCGGGGCTGGCGGTGGCTCTGCTGGGGAGCGTGCGGGTCCCGGTGCCCAAGCCCATGGCTGCGCTTATGAGGGTCCTGTAAGCCCTTCTCCAGAGCCAGCCCTGGCACTGTGGTGGGGACATGCAGAGCCATAGCAAATGGCTGTGGCTTTTCTGGGGTCAGTTAACCAGAGCTTGGCGGTGTGGGCCACATTCCCCGTGCCTGAACTGGGAGAAACACCCTGAATAGTCAGAGTGAGGCAGCCGGCAGTAACTCCCTGCTGTTTGCAGGCTTGGCAGGTGCCATACAATGCAAGCAAGCTCTGTGTACCCACCATCCCCAGCCTCCTCAGGTGCATGAGGAACTCCTCTGAGGAAGCCCCAGAGCTAAAAATTCCCTATTTCTGCTGCTGCAAAGCCTTAATACCATCAACCATCACATCAACCCCCCACAGGGCCACAGAGCCCTGCGAGGAATGTTGCAGGCAGCAGCTACTGGTCCTCCTCCTCCTTCTCCTTCTCTCAGCTGCTGTGGCTTTGGCTTTTTAATTCCCCCTGGCTGCCGACAGCGTGGGAAGGCTGAGTTGCCCGTGCCCTATGTGTGGTTAGTGTCACGCAGGCAGCACCTGCAGAGCTGAGCCTCGACTGAGACACCCTTCCACCTCTTCCTCCATCTCTTCTTCCTCCTCCATCTCTTCCTCCTCCTCCTCCTCGTTCTCCTCCCTGGGCACCATGGGGTGCTCCCGGCTGACACGGTGCCCTCTGCCCCAGGACTACCGGGTGAACATCTTCCTGCGGCAGCAATGGAACGACCCCCGCCTGGCTTACCGCGAGTACCCCGACGACTCCCTTGACCTCGACCCCTCCATGCTTGACTCCATCTGGAAGCCAGACTTATTCTTCGCCAACGAGAAAGGGGCCAATTTCCACGAGGTCACCACCGACAACAAGCTGCTGCGCATCTTCAAGAACGGCAACGTGCTCTACAGCATTAGGTAGAATCCTTCTCCTCCGGAGCAGTGCCCGAGTGGGGAGGCAAAGCTTTCCTCTTGCCTCCTGTGGGACAGCCTCCCCCTGCCGACTGCCCCAGCCTCCAGCAACCCCCTCCTTTCCTCTGTCTCCTCCAGGCTGACGCTGATCCTGTCCTGCCCCATGGACCTCAAGAACTTCCCCATGGATATCCAGACGTGCCACATGCAGCTGGAGAGCTGTGAGTACCTAGGGGGTTTCAAGCTATGCTTCATCCCCCCTATCTCATACCATCCCATCCCGTACTGTCCCGTCCCATCCCATCCCATCCCATCCCATCCCATCCCAAAGGCTGGCATCTTCCTGCTTCTGAGGGAGGTGAGCAGGAAGGAGCAGTCGTTCAGGGTGGGGATGAATGGGGTGCACGTCCCACCAGTCCCATGGCTCCGTCTGTCGCCTCCAGTTGGCTACACCATGAATGACCTCATCTTCGAGTGGCTGGAGGAGCAGGAGGCCGTGCAGGTGGCAGAGGGCTTGACGCTCCCACAGTTCATCCTCAGGGATGAGAAAGAGCTGGGCTATTGCACCAAGTACTACAACACAGGTGAGCACCCCACAGACCCGCTGCCACCCCACCCACCACGGCCCGGGGGTCCCTCTCACCCATCAAGGCCGTCTTTCCCTGCAGGCAAGTTCACCTGCATTGAGGTGAAGTTCCACCTGGAGAGGCAGATGGGTTACTACCTGATCCAGATGTACATCCCCAGCCTGCTCATCGTCATCCTCTCCTGGGTCTCCTTCTGGATCAATATGGACGCAGCGCCAGCCCGGGTGGGCTTGGGCATCACCACCGTGCTCACCATGACCACGCAGAGCGCTGGCTCCCGCGCCTCCCTGCCCAAGGTCAGTGCCAGCCCCGTGACAGGCTCTCCTGCGCTGCAGCCTGCCCAGGGCACCCGGGGCACCTGCTGCTGGCCCCAGTGCTCCAGGGGCAGGGGAAGCCTTCCGTAGCCTTGCCAGCTGGGGCACCACGTGTGCCGAGAGGGGGACACGGTGCGGCTCGGCTGGGCAAGCTCTGGCCTGTGTGTCCCAGCTGAGAGGGCTCCTGTGCCCCTTGGCAGCAGGGTGAAGCTGACAGTAGGGGGGACAAGTGAGACAGGGGGCAGTGGGTCCCTGAGCCCCTCTCACCCTCACAGGTCTCCTACGTGAAGGCCATCGACATCTGGATGGCCATGTGCCTGCTCTTTGTCTTTGCTGCCTTGTTGGAGTACGCAGCCGTCAACTTCGTCTCCCGTCAGCACAAGGAGTTCATGCGCCTGCGCCGGCGCCAGAGGCGGCAGAGGATGGTGAGTCCCTCCCACCACTGCTGTCATGAAGTCTGCCCATCCTCAGCCGCCGAGAGGACACCCCAGGGCTGCAGGGCCAGTTTCTCAGCAGCCGCTGGGGCAGGGCTCGGCACTGGGCTATGTCCCGCTGCCCAGGGCTTGCAGCTAGCCCCTCCAGCGCATCAGGGACCCACAGGCATCGCAGTCCTTCTGCCTGCCTGAGCAGCACAGTGCACAACACCCATGGGTGCCCCAGGCCCTGCCAGCACAAACACGCTCACGGTGCCATCTTCTGGCCGGGACACCCTCGGGCTCTGCTTCCTCTAAAAAAGCAGAAAAATAAACAGCGAGGGTGGGGGAAACAGCCTTTCCCCATACCTGCCCCAAACCTGGTCTCCTCGCTGTGCCACAGAGGTGACAGGGGCTCGCTGCTGCATCAGGGCGGTGAAGCACCAAGGGGACTAGTGGCACTCAGGGACAGGGTCTGGGCTGCAGATGGGAGTGCAGCAGGGCCTGGAGACACAGGGTCCCACGCTCGCAGGACAGCCTTCCCTTCCGTCAGCCCATCGGCGCAGTCATCAGACCTGCGAGATATTTGGGGAAGGCAGGCGGCTGCCCCACTCTCATTTTCTTGCTGAAGTGCACTGCAAGGCACCAGAGCTCCATGGAAAACACGAGTACACATATACATCGCACAGGCTCGCAGTGCCCCATGCAGCCAAATCCCTTCGGATTTGTGCTGAAGATGGATCCCGGTGCCTGGGCACTGCTGGGGGGGGGCTTTCCCCCTCCACGCGGAGCTCCCATCCCCCCGCCATCCCTATCCCGGCACCCAGAGCTGCTGTCCCCGGGGCAGGGACAGAGCCATCGGTCACCCGCTGTCCTGTTTCTGTTTGGTGCACACTGTCGGATGCCAAAAGGGCCTGAGCAGCGGGACAGCCAGCCTGGAGTTCCTGCAGCAGCTGAGTGGCGGGCACAGCAGCGAGCATGCCTACGTGACACTCTCGCAGCTCTCCAGCTCCCGGGTAAAGCATGACCCTCCAGCAGCCCCCCACACAGTGCAGCACAGCACACCGCACCCCCAGCTGGCCTCAATTCCCCTCCCCAAAACAAGCCCCTCAGGAGCCAGCCCCGAGGGCCAGCAAGGGCCCGTGGAAGAAGCAGGGCAGTGATTTGCACAGAGTATGTGCCCATAGGATGGAGCTGCCGCTCCCTGGGCCGAAAAGAGATTTGAGAGAGGGATGAGAATGGAGCAGATTTCCCTGGACACACCTCTGCTCTGTGCCTCAGTTTCCCCTTCGTAAAGCAGGACCAGCACAGCCCTCTTTGCCAAGGGATGAGTGATGCTGGGGCAGACCGATAGCCGCTCCTGGGCTGCTGCCCAGCTCCCCATGCCAGGCCCACACCTCTGGCAGGGTGAGGGTTCCGCCTGCCCAGCTTTCCTGGTGCAGGCAGGTTTGAGGCACTCAGGGCTGCCTGCAGTAACTCCAGTGCGGGCAGTTGCTCAGGGCACACAGGCACTTTGCAGCTTGAGGTGTAGGGAGGAGCAGTGGGGCAGGGCAGGCTCCCAGTCTGGTGGGGAGATGCTGGGGGACAACAGCAGCTCCAGGGAGGAGATCAGGCCTGGTACATCCTCACTTCCCTGCCCAGCTGGGCTGCCCCGAGCCTCCCCTCCACCATCATCAGCCCTTGGACGCCGGGAGAAGCTTCCTGGTTCCCCGCAGTGCGCTCCATTGCTCCCTGCCTTTCACAGCCCCGGAGCACCGACCCCTGGAGATGAACACCCACCCAAGTGGGGCAGGGAGGGAGAGGCTCTGCCGAACCCAGGAACCATTTGCTGGCTTAAAACAGACCAAAGTGCAGCTGCCCTGAGGTGGAGGCTGCAGAGCCACCCCAGGGTGCTGCTGGCAAGGCAGTGGGTGCAGCCAGGAGCACCCCGGGTTGCTGCTTGGTCAGAGACTGGAGCAGAGCCCCGCTGCCCGCAGTTCCCGTGCTGGTGCTGCCTGATGCAGCACAGCCTGGGTGCCGCAGCCCGATGGCAAATCTCTCCCACAGACCCCACAAAGCTGGACCCAGGGAGCTCCCTGCACCCAACCTCGGCCCCCAGTAAGTACTCCAGGGCCGCCCCAGCCCAGAGGGACCCAGCTGGGAGGACCAGCACTCCCAGTCTGCCATCTTCTCCCCCAAATGTCCTGGCTGGGCCCACTGGCTCCCCAGGCTGAGGGAATAGCTGCTGCCCCCCAGGGCACGCAGGGCACCCTGGCTCCCCTCCACTGCGTCCCCCGGCGTGGCCGCAAGCGCTCAGCCTAGGGCAGGGGAATAAAACTCTGCTGCAAATGAGAACTAATCTCAGCAATTTGAACCGCTGCTGCTCTTCCCACTGGGAAATCTTGCTTAGCCGGCGGATTGCTGAGTTTAAATAAAGATGCCAGGGCACAAGCTCTCCGCATGAGAGCCCTCTTGCCGGCTGAGTGCCTGTGCAGGCTGACCTCAGCAAGGAGGCTGCTCTCTGTGGTTTGGAGGGCAGTGTCGGTCGGAGATGGCGTTCGGGATCCGGCACCTGGGCTCTATGTGGGCATGGCGCGAGGCGAGGGGCTGGCCTGCAGCACGTGCCGAGAGAAGAGACCCACTGCAGCCAGGTGTGGCACCAGCAACGCAGAGGAGGGGATGAGCCACAGAGACCAAATGAGTGGCCCAGGGGCTCGGTGAGAAGACAGACAAGCAGCCCGGGCTTGCACATGCCGATCCCTCACCAAATCTTTGCACACACAATCCCCTCTAAGGATAAAAGAACAGGACAAGGCAAGTTGTTAACAGTGTGCAGCTGTCAGTGGGGAGGAGCACAGGCACCGCTGGCTGGCACCCAAGGGGCTGTGAGGCGAGCAGGGCTGTGCCGCAAATGATGGCTGTGGACTGCAAACCAAGGGTGAGGGCAGGCACCCGACTCTCATGGCACTTTTGCAGGCTTGATCATGGGCATGCAGCCCCCCAGGCATGCTGCCCTCCCTGCAGCCCCCCACCAGCATGGGGGGAGATGGGGTGAGCAAGGGCAGAGAGACCAGCAAGGAGTCCAGCTCTCTCAGCCTTCCTTCTCTGCTGCACTGGGCAGCCCCTGCCAAGCAGCCATGGGGAGAAACGGGGGTCTGGGCCCTTGGAAGGACTGGGAGGCCCTGCAAGCCCTGATGGTAGCCAGGCTCCTGCATCCCTGTCCAGCCCCCACCAGCATGGGGGGAGATGGGGTGAGCAAGGGCAGAGAGACCAGCAAGGAGTCCAGCTCTCTCAGCCTTCCTTCTCTGCTGCACTGGGCAGCCCCTGCCAAGCAGCCATGGGGAGAAACGGGGGTCTGGGCCCTTGGAAGGACTGGGAGGCCCTGCAAGCCCTGATGGTAGCCAGGCTCCTGCATCCCTGTCCAGCTCTGGCACAAAACTCCCTGCACCCTGCACCACTATGTGCTCTGCACCCCCATGCAACCTACATCCCCTGCATCCCCATGTGCCCATCTTCCACTCCAGTTCACCCCCATCCCCTTCGCTGCTGGAGAGCGGGATTTCCCAAGCCCCCAAGCTGGAGCTGGGAAGAGGCATGGAGGGATCAGTGTCAGGCTGCCAGGGTCAGGGTTGCCCTTGGATGCACCCTTAAAACACATGCTGGATGACAAGTCAGTCAGTCAGTCAGTGCTTGCCCCCATACCCCATGCACACTGCTGCCTGCCTCTGCTCGCAGCCTGCCGGCCCCGTGCTTTTGCCTGCACACTTCAGGCTTTCTGAAAAAGCGCCTAACCTTGCACCAGGCACTTACATGACCGTATTGCCTAGCGGGGGGGTGTATAGGACATGCAGCCACAAGCACCTGCTCACCCTGCAGTATCAGCGCCCACGGGATGCCCTGGCTGACAGCCTTTCCCTTCACCAGGAGGAAGAGCTTGTCCGCGAGAGCCGCTTCTACTTGCGAGGCTACGGGCTGGGCCACTGCCTGCAGCCAAAGATCGGGGCTGGGGAGGGCCCCGACATCTACAGCCC